TGACCGAAAATTTGAAAGAATCAAGGGTCAGAGTTGAAATGTCTGCAATACCGGGAACGTTGTCAAAAGCTCCTAACGATGGGGTGCGGAATCCAACCGCCCAAACATTGCCGGAATAGAGGGTAACCGTAGCGTCCTTCATCAAAGGATGATGCGGGGTTGTTAAACAACAATTGAGACGCAGCGGTGGTGTAGCGATGTGACAGGTGGGTTAACGGCTTGCCACCACCTTGCCCGCACCCAGCTCCTAAGTACCTGGCTCATAACCATAACGCACCCTAGCTCATGCTTGCCTGGGAACGTGTCTCAAAGGCAAGTATAGCTTAGAATCGCTAGCCCAGTGAAGTTCCCCAATGTCTCAACCGCACCCGCATCCATTGTATACAAAAATGCATATTAGTGTAGAAGTAGTGAAGTAGACTAAGAAGATTTCATAGTGATGAGGATTAAGGAGATCTTTGTAGATCTTCCGTTAATTCATTGTGCATTTTGCCCTCAACTACACACGCTTCCTCCCGCAGTGCTATAGGTGGCATGGACGAGAGCAGCAAGGAACTTCATGGCAATAAGTGAAATCGAGAAATGAAAGAGGGACTGACATCGCCCTTTGTTTGGGTGGTCTATAATACAACGGCCAAGCCATTCTCGATGACTTATTCTGGCAAGTCAAGTACCCTTTGAAGGGTGATCAAGAAGATACAATATTACGTACTCCTAGTGTACAGTGAAACTCGGTCAGTGCAACTCTGCATGTGTATTTTTTTTTGTATGCATAGTGCATAGTGCCAACAAATTTAAATAATATTCATTACGTCAAGTTTGTTACCTTCCCCCCAATTGGGAGTATTACTGTATTTTTGAAGTTGCTCTGACCGAGTTTCTCCGCAATGCACTGTACTAGTAAACAATTAACACCCAGAACAAGTCTTCGAGAATGGCTTGGTCGTTGAATACCCAAACAAATATGGATGGGTCACGCTCGAAATCCATTTCAATCGAGCGCGATTGAAAGCGCTCGAATGAAACGGACCTAATTGAAATCAAATTCAGAATTTGTATGACCTCAGCTTTCCACGCGAACGCGCAGTTCACCGGCACAGGGGTCAAGCTCTCATTCTATCTACCGAAGATCCGGCCAATACAAAACTAATGTTATATGTGGAGAAACAATTTTAATATTCAGTCGAGTGACATCGGGGAATCAAATCATCGAAAACCGCATCTAGCTCGGCCAAGGGAATTAATTGCACCCTTATATTGTCATCATCCACAGCATCTTCCGTAGTAGTATCCGAATCATCATGCGGACTTCGTCAGACGTCATGGTATCCACATGGCGGCGCCGGCAGGTTCGGACCTGATTCAGCCCAACCGCTGAATCAGGTCCCAGTCTGACTGGCTAATATTCTTTTAAATTTTGACCAATCGTGTGAATCGAGCGAGCGCTCGCGAGCGATTGAAATCAGCGCATCCATACAAACAAAGGGCGATGTGGGCGGTTTGAGCCCTTCTTCTTGATCAAGAAGATACAGTCCCCAGAGATAGTCAACACGTAACACCCAGAACAAGCCTTCGAGAATGGCTTGGTCGTTCACCACCCAAACATGCCGCCGCTGTGTCTCAATTTGTGTTTGACAATCCCGCACCCATCGGTCGAGGAGTCTCTGCCGTCCCCGTCTTCTCAAACATAACATGGGCGGTTCGATTCCGCAACCCGGCATTTGGAGCTTATGACAACATTCCTGGCATTGCAGGCATTTCAAGTATGGCCTTTGTTTGACATTACGGCCAATGCGTCAATGTGGTTGCAACCACAGTTGTGCCCTTCCGCCGACGGTACCAACACCCCATTGATGCACTGTTTTGTCTCCCGCTTCTTCTTGGCTTTCGGTCACGGGACCTTCGTCAAGGCAGCAAATATACACACTTATATTAGTGAGGTTAAACACGCCGCGAGACGCCTACTTACTACCATTCACTAAAGTATTCAGTATCTCCACTAAGGTATCGGAACCTTTGACACGCCACACACACAGAGTGTGTGTGTTAGCAATGGGTCAAACTAACGCGCGACCCAATTTCGCTGCACGCTGCAGAACACTTCCCCTCCTACGGAAAGTCCAGTGCCTTGATGAGGGCGGCCACGGCAGGGTCTTCCTTGTTCGCCGCCGCCCACTTGCGAAATACGACTGGAATGTCGTCCAGCAAATTCGCCGCAGGTTCCCAGGACGATTCTTCATCGTCGAGTCCAAGCCACTTCACCAAAACTTGGTGTTGGTCATCCACGCAGCGCGCTTCGTGCAGGCGCTCCACATGAAATCTGCCATCGCCAAACGCGATCTGCGCCTCGAGGTATTCGGTCACCTCTCTACCACCTTCGTGGTACATCTTCAGTCGGCACGCATGATGGACCGTGACTTCATACGGTGGCACCAGCTGCTGAGTCTCCATCACATGGTCTGTGATAACTCTGGTCACTTGGCAGGGTCCTCGCCAATGCAGGGCCAATTTTGTCGGACGGTTGACGACCGATCCGACGAGCACAAAATCGCCGACTGAAAAACCCGCAAACTTGACTTGGGATTTTCGGTCGTGGCGTCCACGCGCTTGCTGACGCAACTTGTCGCTTCGCACCGCCACGTTGCGGTGCATTTCTTCTAGCGCCACTTGGAGGTCCGTCACATGTTTCTGACGGGCGGTGCCAAGCCAGTCCGCGACATAAACTTCCTTGGACGTCGGGTGGACAAATCCTGCCAGCGGGTCTTGGCTGGCAGGCCGGTAAACGCTGTCACAGGCGCAATTCCTCCCAGCCGGTCCGCCGGCTGATGGTTGAGGGCACCTTGAACGAGGGGCAACACATGCAGCCTTTCGTCCGCGTTCAGCTTCATTTCGCTAAGCAGCGCCTTCACGGCGCGCAGCACTAGTCGGTTGACTACTTCTACAGTCCCGTTCGCCCAAGGACTGTAGGCTGTCGTGATATGATGGTGGGCACCCACCAACTTCCGCACCTTCTCGAATCACTTCGTTCTTGAAGTGAGAACCGCCATCTGACATCCATGTGTCAACGCAGCCGAACGTGGTAAACCACCCTCATCAGGCACTTAGCGGTCGCGGCGGCGTCAGCGGACTTTGCCGCGAACAGCTGCACAAAGCCACTCATGTCGTCCTTCACGACAAGCACTTGTTTTTGGCCAGACTTGGCCATGGACATCGACAACCAGTCGAAATGGATGAACTCGTTCGGCTTCTCTGCGTGAAGCGCCGAACCCAATGGACTGGGAACCATTTCTCCGCCAATGCACAGGCAGTGCAAACAGGCACGCACGAACGCTTCGACGTCCGTGGGAAGCGTCTTCCACACAAACTTGTCGGACACCGACTTGGTCGTCGCTGCGATGCGACGGTGACCGCTGGCTCCTTGGTGAGCGATCACACAAATCCGCTGCTGTGGGTCAACAGCACCGTCTGGGATCCAGATTCGTCCATCTGGGTCCACATAAAAATGGGAGTCGTCGTCCCAATCCACACCGTTTGGGGGGGTCCCTCCCCCTTCCATGGTTGAACTTTGGATGTCGCTGATCGTAGCGGCTGTCGGCCACTCGAAATCCACTTGTTGCAGGGGCGACACCACATGGATCAGCTTGCGAACATTCGCAACTGGTTGATCCGTCGGAGCCGAACCCCATCGCCTCAGGAGGTCGCCCCACACGTTCGCGTCACCCGAGACGCACTCAATGGTGTACGGGAAGGTCGACATCACCAGCGACCATCGCTGCAGCTTGTCGGCCTGGTACTTGGT